TTCAGAAGTCAGCATCTTACTGGCTTTCTGCTTAGGTAATGACTAAAATGATGATGTCACTATGTCCTCTATTGTATATGTGGTGGCCCAGTCCATGAAATTTGTGCACATTAAAAGGGAATTAATTAGAGGAAATATTTTAATATTGCTATTTGCCCTTTCTCTATAATAGAGATAAAAGAAAATTAGGGAAGTGTATATGAAAATCTCCCTCCTGTCAGAGTTTGTGGTGCACCACAGGACCCAGAGTCAAGTCCCCTCCTACCTGCATGCCTCGAAATTGCAGGAGACCCAGACCGGGCCATCCCCAGCCCTGTCAATCCCTGCTGGGCCGGGGGCACAGCCTCGGGTCCCCCATCAAGCCCAGTTGAATGGGGAGCGCAGCCTCAGGTCCCCCAGCCCCAGCATGAGGGTGTGATGACCATTTGCATATTAGCTCTTTATTATTTAGGATGTAGAGTTGGAGGCATTAGCCAGGACTATTTATAGAAGATATGCTTATACATTGTGGTATAAAAGTAGGTTTACAGTTGTGATTACATACAACACAGTTTTTATTCTTATATTATTACTTATTAATTATTGTATTATTTTCCATACAAGCAACTGTAAACTTATTTTTGTCCCATCCTCTATAGCTTGAAAACTGAAATATTAATGGGAAAACTATTAATAGTACAAATAAGATCATTTTTTAAATTACCAAAACATTTTATCATGCTAATGTATAAAACCCAAAGACCTTCTTACAAACAAACAAGAAAAAGATAGAAGACATGATGAAGAAAAGTCCCTGATTATTATATAAAGTACCAGGGCATAAGTATCTACACTGTAAAAGAGTAACATGCAAATTGACCATACCTTTGGGACATCCACCAGCCATTCAGGAGTGAGTATGCAAATTAACCCAACAAATTTGGTGGGTTTATTTGCATACACAGGCTCTGAGTGGCTGGGGGCAACAACGCAGGTATTCCACATCACTCCAGGCGTCTGGGCAGCGTGGGAAGGCGGAAAGGCTGGAGCAAAGGCGGTGCCCACAATCAAGGGAAGGAAGGCTCATTCTTGCAGGAATCTTCATGCATCAGGCCTCTAGTAATAGATAAAGCCCAAAAGAGGGTGACTAGCAAGGGAGATTCAACTTGGCAGGAATGTTAATTCTTACCACCCTAATTTATATATGGAAAGCAATCCCAATAAAAATACCGGTTTTTGTTTAACCAGGTAATTTGATTATAAAATGTATTTGCAAGTTTAGAGAACCAAAAATAGCCAGTAAGCCCCTCTAAAAATAGGGCAGTGGATAACCTTACCTAAGGCCTAATCCTATCAGGCATTAGAATATAGTATACAGATTCTATATTTAAGACATTTAATAATGGCCCATTAATAAACAGAATGATCAATGGAACAGAATTTAAAAATCTAGAATTAGACTCAATTTCATTTTAAAAAAATATATATTTTATTGATTTTGTACACAGAGGAAGGGAGAGAGATAGAGAGCTAGAAACATCGATGAGAGAGAGAGTCATCGATCAGCCGCCTCTTGCACACCCCCTACTGGGGATATGCCTGCAACCAAGGTACATGCCCTTGTCCGGAATCAAACCAGGGACCCTTCAGTCCCCAAGCCGACGCTCCATCCATTGAGCCAAACCGGTCTCGGCTCAATTTCATTTTTATTTATTTTTATTTTTATTTTTTTAAAACAATTCTTTATTATGTATGATGTGTCTTTTTTTTTTAAATATTTTTTATTGATTTTTTACAGAGAGGAAGGGAGAGAGATAGAGAGCTAGAAACGCGATGAGAGAGAGAGTCATCGATCAGCCGCCTCTTGCACACCCCCTACCGGGGACGTGTCCGCAATCAATGTACATGCCCCTGACCGGAATCGAACCTGGGACCTTTCAGTCCACAGACCAATGCTCTACCGCTGAGCCAAACCGGTTTTGGCTCAATTTCATTTTTAAAGGTATACATGAGAAAGGTAATGTTTAAAAGCAAACAGACTTTAAAAAAATACTTTTTAAAAAAGTCCTCACCCAAGGGTATATTTTTCATTGACTCTTGGCTGAAGAGAGAAACATAGGTCTGCTTGGGATCACACTTGAGACCCTTCAGTGCATGGAACAATGATCTAACCAACTGAGTCACACCTATGTCCATCTTCTAACTGATTGGTTTTTTGCTGTTGTTGAGTTATAAGGAAAATACAAATCAAAACTATAATGAGATACCTGTCGGAATGGCTTTAATTAACAAGACAGGTTAAACAGTACAGAGATCCTGGGACCTCTTTGGGGCAGGGCAGACTGGCAGACATTGCTGTTTGCTCTGCCCTGGTGATTCCATGAGACCCCACCTCACCCAATTTACAACCCCACCCAAGCTGTGCACAGCAGCTTCTGCATATGAATGGCCTGCCCCTCTTGCAAAACCTAGCAAACTGAAGCTGGATAAGAGGGCTCCAAAGTGTCCAAAAGAAGGCCTAAGGCCCTGCAGTAGCAGCCTACATTGCTTCACAGCTGGGCCTCATCTGGATACTTCCAAACTCCAAACAAAGAGGAGGAATCTGCAGATCTCTCTGTAGCTCCTGCTGGGTGGCCTCAGGTAGTGGCTGACTTTGCATCTTCTTGGAGATCCAAGAGCCAGTGCACCCAGTGGTCAGTGTGAGACCATACCAGATTACAACTCTCCAAATCCATAAGCAACACACTCAAGGGGCAGACTCTGTAAGCACCAAATCCCCACCGAAGCAAGTCCTGCCCCATAAGGGTGTTTCTAGCACAGCAGTTTTCCCATTATAGACACAGCTGGTCTTTACAGCCAATTGGCCTGGAAGTTAAATCCTCCCAGTGATACCAACAGCAATCAAGGCTTAACTACAACAAGACTGTGCACACAGCCCACAAAAGGGTGCACCAAGAGCGACCACCTTAGGTGATTGGGGAGACTGAGCCACTGGACCCTAAAGCACACCTAGCACACAAAGCCACTCTATCAACACAGTGAAGCAGCTAAAATGTGGAGACAAAGAATCATGTCACAAATGAAAGAAATGGAGGAAAGCAAACTACTGAATATAGAGTTCAAAACCATGGTTATAAGATTTCTGAAGAATCTTCTAGAAACCTCCGAGAAATTTAGTGAAACCCTCAAGGATATGAAAAGGGAACAATCAGAATTAAGCCTACACTGACTGAAATAAAGAATAATATACAGAGATCCAATAGCAAACTAGAGAATCACAAGAATAAAGTCAAAGATTTGAAATATGAAGATGCAAAAAAACACCCAATTGGAAAAGCAAAAAGAAAAAAGAATCCAAAAATATGAAGATAGTGTAAGGAGCCTTGTAACAACCTCAAGGGTGCCAACATCCAAATTATGGGGTTGAAGAAGAAGAAAGAGAGCAAGATATTGAAAACCTATTTGAAGAAATAATGACAGAAAACTTCCCCCACCTGGTGAAAGGGATAGACTTACAAGTCCAGGAAGTGCAGAGAACCCCAAAGAGGACCACACCATAATTAAAATACCAAAGGCAAAAGATAAAGAGAGAATATTAAAAGCAGCAAGAGAAAAATAGTTACCTAGAAGGGAGTACCGATATGGCAGTCAGCCGATTTCTTTTTATTTATTATTATTTTTATTAAATTATTATCTGTGTACATATTTTAACATTGCCCCCCCCCCCCCCCGCCATACATACCCTCTCTCCTCAGAGTTTTATGTCCATTGGTTGTACTTATATGCATGTATACAAGTCCTTCGGTTGATCTATTATCTCCCCCAGATCTCCCTACCCTACCTACAGCCGATTTCTTAACAGAAACTATGCAGGCCAGATGGGAGTGGCAAGAAATATTCAAAGTGATGAATAGCAAGAATCTACAACCAAGATTACTACCCAGAAAAGCTATTGTTCAAAATTGAAAGTCAGATAAAGAGCTTCATAGATAAGAAAAAGCTAAAGGAGTTCATCACTGCCAAACTACTATTATATGAAATGCTGAAAGATATTCTTTAAGAAGAGGAAGAAGATAAAGATAAAAATTATGAACAGAAAAGTGACAACAAATACATATCTATCAACAAGTGAATCTAAAAAATCAAGTGAATAAAAAATCTGATGAACAGAATAATCCGGTGAATATAATAGAATCAGGGGCATAGAAAGGGAGTGGACTGACAATTCTCGGGGGGGAAGGAGGTATTGGGGGTGTGGGAAGAGACTGGACAAAAATCTCACACCTATGGATGAGGACAGTGGAGGGAGATAAGGGAATGGGGTGGGGTGGGAACCAGGTGGAGGGGAGCTATGGGGGTAAAAAAGAGGAACAACTGTAATAATCTGAACAATAAAGATTTATTTATTTATTTATTTATTTATTTATTTATTTATTTATTTATTTTTTAAAAAGGAGGGGTAGACCTGTGGGTAACAAAATCCTGGTTCTTGGCAAAAGGAACCCAGATTGATGGTGCTACTCCAAATCTCAGCACTTGGGGTGCTTGTTTCTTCCCTCAAGCTCAGCAAGAACTCATATTTCGGTGTGGTAGGCAGAATGTGTGTTCTTGGCATAGTTCAGAGCGCGGGAAGGCAGGGGACCAGGCATGGATTTGCAAACAAAATATTGGCAGTGTCCACATCAACAATGCCAGCGCCAAGCTAAGGTTCTCACTGTCTGGGTCAGCAATGGAGTTGACAGGTCTGACTAGGTCCAGCAGCAAGGCCTGGAGAGTTGGGCGGCTGCTGGGCTGGCATCATGGCTTAGGTGGAGCCCGCCTTGGGTCCGGGACACAGAAGCAAGGTCAGGGAGGGGGCGGGTTCCGAAAGGGGGCGGAGCCTGGAAAGGCCGGCGCGAGGCGAGGGCGGGGCCAGAGGTGGGCGGAAGCGTGAGTCAGGGCGGGGTGGGCGAGGCGGAGGGCGGGGCCGCGTTCGGCGCATGCGCACGGGGTCGGGGCGGGGCCGCGCACGCGCCGTTCGGGGCCCGAGGGCGGAGTCCGGCGGGCGCGGCCAGAGCGGGCGGAGGCTCCGGCGCGGCGCTCCATCCGGCCACTGACGCGATGCCGGCTGCAGCGGGCGGGGCGGCCGGGCCGGCGGGGATGTGACAGGCGGCCCTTCGCCCACCTGCGGTCCTTGCGCCCTCAGGTCTCCGGCGAGCCGCCTGGGCCGCGCAGAGGAGGCAGAGCGGATCGGAGCGGTAAGGGCCGGATGGTGGGGGCGTCCCGGCAGGATGCTGGCGGGCAGCTCGGGCAGGGGGCGCGGTCCCGGAGCTCAGGCCCGGCGCCGGGTGAGGCGTGACGCCCTTCGGCCTCCTGCCTCCGGTGTGACCCTCGCGAGCCTGCTGAGGCGAGACGGGCGTGGGCCGGGCTGGACGGCCCCCGTCCCCCCGTTCCCCGAACCCTCGCCCCGGTCTCCCTGGAACCCCGTCTTCTCACTCCCCACCCCAGTTCCTCTCCGTCCTCCCCATCGCAGTCTCCGTCCGTCCTCGCTTCTCCCGCCCCGCCCGTTGCCTCCCCCTCCGGTCCCCGGACCCCTCCGCCTCCCGAGCCTCTGGGAAAAGCAGGCGAGGCTCAGGCGCGGGGTTTCAGGGTGCTGTGCGGGTTGGCAGGGGAGGTGCCGGTATGCTCCAGTGACTTTTTTGGGGGAGGGGATTGTTCCTGGGACACAACAAAGACACACCCTAAACACGTCCTGAGGTGAAACTTCGTGGAGCGCACCGTTTGCTTAGTCAGGTGCCCTCTCCTTGCAGAGACCGTGTTCTCTGCGCGGCCTGTGTCAGGCACTGACGGCCTCCTTTGGGTGGTCCTGGGGCCGAGGTGGAGCCCAGGGTCAGTGACTGCAAACCCGGCATCAGGCCTGCGCCCCGACCTGGCCTGGAGGAATGGCTGAGGCCCACTCCCGGGTCCCAGCTTGGCGCGTGTGCCCACCCACAGGGGATAAATTGTGTTAGACTTCTCCAAACAGCCATTGGAAATACATTCCTTTTTTCTTGAACATTAAAAAATAGTAGAACCCATTAATTTTGCCATTTAAAAACCTTCCTTTGGTTTAAGGAGTTTAGTGGTGACAGCTCTTCTTGAACCAAAAGAAATTTAAAATACTCTCCTCTTGCAAAAGATAGGCACACAACATGTCTTATCTGAAATGGATGCATGGTAAGGATTTACACATTTCTGAATGTTTTACTTGAAGTCAGTCTTCTCAGATGTTATTACTGTTAGCCTCTCTTAATTTATTTTATAGATCTTTAGTATTTTCTTAATTGGTTGTGTTCTTTAGTGTGCTCAACAAAACTGGCTTCAAATAAACACACTTTCTTGAAGGCTTAGCTGTAATTTTACTTCACTGTTGTATTAATGTGCCATAGGAAAAAACTGCTACGGGCCCTGAGAGGATGAACCGTCCATTTAAATAAGCACAATTTGCTCTGCCTTTCTAATCCAGACCTGCGTTTTTTGCTTGTCACCTTGACTCAGCTCCTTTGACTGCGTGATGGAAGAAGGGGACTTTGATTCCGTGTGTGAAGTCTGTCAGTGACTCTCCATAATCTGTAGTTGATAAAGTCAAAGTCCTTCACAGTTCTGGTTTTCATGTTTGTTTCCAATATCATCTTCTACCATTTCACCTGCCTTCTTCATGCAAAGCCTGCTTAGAGGTCTCTGAAGATGGCATCTTCCGTTGTTGGTTTTACACTCTACTCTGTTGAGAATTCTTTTCTATCTAGTAAACTAGGTGCCTTTTAAGACCTAACCGAAATACTCCTGGATCTTTCCCAGACATTTTGTCCTCCTTGTCTCAGCTGACCCAATAGTGCATTGTACATTGTGCAGTTAGCATCTGTCAACTGGTAGTTAATCATTTGTTTGTCTCCACCAGACTTTGGGGCTTCTTAAGGAAAGGGAGTTTTGCAGCTCTAGCACATACTGTGTGTGGCACAGGTGTTCAAAAACTGTTGAGTAAATTTTTGAGGAATGCTTTCAGTCTTCAATATAGCTTTAAGAGAGGCAAAATGTGTTAACTACTTTCAATATCAGAAAATTTAGAAAAGAGAAATGCACAAACGAGGTACTTTTACATTTCTAAGAATCAAGTCAAAATTATTGTTGCTTGTTAGGAAGTAAATCCCAGTCATGACAAGGCACCAGTGTGTTTTATGGCATGAATGAAAGGGATGGTCTGTAGGACTGCTGCTACTTTGATTTTAGGACTTCAAGGGGGAGTAATTTGCCCAAGGTCATGCAGGTAGAAAAGGTCAGACAGCTGGGATCCAGTCCAGGCTTTTGACCATCTGTGTATTTTACCTTTGCTTCCAGTTTCCTAATTCTAAATCTTAGTAATTATTTTACAATGAGTGAGGCATTTTCTGAGGGGGGTGGGAATCAATTCTTTTAAATAACGTGTTATTTTACTTTTTTTCTCCCAAAGTTGCCCTAGGTCTTATTTTCAGGGGATGTCTTATCTTTCCATGCGCTAGGTCTTATTTTCAGGGAAACACGGTAGTAGAATATTGAATTTGAAAGAATTAAGAGATTATTTGATTCAACTTTTACATTTTTATATCAAAGGATAAGTTGCTGAGGTTGCTTAGTCACCTGTATAACACATCTCCTGACCATATGCTTGTGTATTTTTTAAAAATATATTTTTATTGATTTCAGACAGGAGGAAGGAGAAATAGAAACATCCTATAAAATAAAAGGCTAATATGCAAATCTACCAAACAGTGAAATGACTGGTTGATATGATGCACACTCAATGCAGGAGCTGCTCCCTGGTGGTCAGTGTGCTCCCATAGGGGGAGCACCACCTGGCCAGAAGCCCTGAGCCGGACTCATGACTGGCGAGTACAGTGTAAAACCACCGCCTCTGCCGCTAAGGATGTCTGAGTAACGGATTAGGCCTGCTCCCTGAGTGGCCGTAAGCCATCAGTCGGACATCCCCCACAGGCTCCTGGACTGTGAGAGGGTGCAAGCTGATGAACACTCCCCACCCCGAGTGCACAGATGTCATGCACTAGGGCTCTAGTCTATGATGAGAGAGAATCATGGATCGGCTGCCTCTTTCACACCCTCTACTGGGGATTGAGCTTGCAACCTGGGCCTGTGCCCTGACTGGGAATTGAACCGTGACCTCCTGGTTCATAGGTTGATGCTCAACCACTAAGCTAGGCCAGATGGACTGCTTGTGTATTTTTCATCACTCCATGGTGTTTTTAGAAGAAAATGAAGAGGTTTCCAATTTTCAGAGGGAGAGCAAATAGTCTTACAATTTCTTCCTCCTTGAATGCTTAGCTCTTGAGTGCCTAAGAAACATGGCAATTCATTTGGGATATAGGAGAAACCTAGGCTTCACCATTGCATTTGGTTGGATAGTTTTTAACCTCAGTGCTTGGGGCCCACTCTCTAGTTGCCCCATAAGTGGCTTCTGCTACCATATGAAGATCACACATCCAGTTAATGTTTTGATGGTAAAATGAGATTTTAATATAACAAGGTTCTAGCTGGCTAATAGCATGGCTAAAATGACGTGTGTGAGAATTTATCCAATTACTCTGTGTGATAGCTTTTTTTTTTTTTTGAAAAAATGATAATTGTGGTTTTATGCTTCAGAAGAGTCATTTAAAAAAAAATACATTTTATTGATTTTTCACAGAGAGGAAGAGAGAGATAGAAAGTTAGAAACATCGATCAGCTGCCTCTTGCACACCCCCTACTGGGGATGTGCCCGCAACAAAGGTACATGCCCTTGCCCGGAATCAAACCCGGGACCTTTTAGTTTGCAGGCCGATGCTCTATCCACTGAGCCAAACCGGTCCCGGCCAGAAGAGTCAATTTTAAAATGTGTACTTGCTGTGGTTTACCTGATCAATTCTAACAGGCTTTTTTTTATTTTACAAATAACTTAATGGTTAAAGTATTAAGAAAAAAAACTTTTAACTTTTAATTTTCTTCTCATTTATTTCTCACTATATATACATGATTTTATACAACAATCAAGGGTAAATATAATATTTAACTTTGCTTTCATAGTTAATGTTTTTTTTGCTCAAGTTTTTTATATGTAAATTATCACATAATACTAGAAGCCGGTGCACGGGATTCGTGCAATGGTGGGGGATTTGGCCTGCGAGGATCAGGCTGCTGTGGGAGCACTGCTCATTCCCGTCTGCCAAGGAGCTATGGACCCGCCCTCTGAGCGGCTGTTCCCTGGTCCGGCATCTTCTGTGGAGCCAGAACACTCGAAGTGACTTCTCCAGGGGACCCGGCCGGGCCCAGGGACAAGAGCACTGAGAGGCGGCAGAGTAGGCCTCAGTCCTGTGGTGGCCACAAACCCACCTCCCAGTCTCTAGGGTCAGCTCTGAAAGCTTGGTGGTGACGCTGCAAGGCTAGTGGGTATCTGGAGGAGGTGGTAAGGAATGAGGAGGAGGAGCCTGGGACAAGGAGGCAATGATTGCAGCCCAGGTTCCTGCCTGTCGGTTCGGGGTTCACAGCGGGAGCAGCCGCTCATCCTGGTCAGCTGAGCAGCACTCCCATTGTGGTAGTGCGCTGACCACCAGGGAGCAGCTCCTGTGTTGAGCATCTGTCCCCTTGGTGGTCAGTGCGCATCATAGCAATTGGTCAACCAGTTGTTCTGGTCGTTCTGCTGTTTGGTCATTGGGCTTTTATTATATAGGATTACTAGTTGAGTTGCTTAGTTTTACTAATTGGACATCTAAGATGCCTCCAATTTGGTAAGTAATGTAGTTAATATATTGCTGTCCTTTGTTTTCTTATTTTGTTAGGCTAAAGTTCCAGGAGAGGGGTTACAAGGTAAGAGAGCATGAAGGTTTTTGTCACTTAAAAAAAAATGTTCTTATTGATTTTAGAGAAGAGGAAGAGGGATAGAAAGATAGAAAAATCATGCATGAGAAACAAACATCCATTGGCTGCATCCTGGAGGCCCTTACTGGGATGGAGCCTGAAATCCTGGCATGTGCCTTCATTGGAAATCCAACCAGTGCCCTCTTGGTCACTGCTCAACCACTGAGCCACACCAACTGGTGGTTTTTATCACTTTAAAAAAATATTACCAGGTTTATTTCTAAAAGTTTGTATTGATTTATACTGCTTCCTGCATTTTGGTTGATAGTTTTACAATACTTTTAAAGGCTTTTGTTTTTTAAAAGTTGGTATTTTACAAATAGGTATAAGGATACCT